GGTCTGTAAAACAACTAATTTGTTACCAAAATTATGGGCCCCGCACTGAAAGCCAAATTATTCTCCCAGCCCTTGCATATAATGCACACAAAAATTAAAGGCATTAAAGGCATAGCCCATGAAGTGCTGTAGACACTGGCCACCTTCTTGGAGGTCAAAATGTCATTTCATGGACTATAAAGGTAACCGCAGGAACTATATTAAGCTTCTGAACCAGGCACGCAAGTCATTAGGAACTGCTCCTTCCCCCTCCACTTCCCTCTTTTCTCAGACTCAAGGGAGCCTGCTTCTTGTTTCTTCAGACAAGCCACCCACTCACAGGATATTCAACCAGAGAATTTCCATTGCGCGCTCTTGGCAGCCTGGTGTTCACCGCAGTGGCTGACCCGACCCACCAGCTTGCCTCGTCACAGTATCCACAACACAAGCCAGGCTTCAGTTCCTGGGTTATTTCTGCAACAGCAGAGAAGTGATCTGAGTCCTGCCTTTCTGCGGCTGCTTTGTCCAAACTTCACACCATGTGAGCTGATCAAATGCTTCCAGCCACTCCAGGTGTCCAGGCAGAGCATTTGCCTGGCAGTGCACGTTGTGTGCTGTCTGCTGTGGATCGGATGCTTATGCAAAGAGTTGGTGCTTTAAACTGCTAATTTTTTGGACTGCAAGCAGCATCTTTTTATCGTGAGGCAGACACCACATGATTTTATGAAAAGACAACAGAGCCTTGCTGACAGGTTTGATGGAGAAATGGAAGCATCCATGACGAGAAAGTCTGCATTATCATACAGCTAGTGTTCACTGGAAGCTTTCAAGCAGAACCATGAGCACTGGATGGTGGGACATGTATAGCTCAGATGACAGAGAATTAATTCTAATAATATCCACATGATGAAGGGCCAACTTCACTAAAACTCTCAGCTGCCCGGGAGTTCTCCTGGCCCCTATGCAGGTCGACACACAAACAAGACGTGCTCCAGGACTCAAGAATAAAATAACATCCTCTGGAAGCAATTCGAGACTGCTGTGGATGTGCGGTTTGTCAGTATCAATGGTAATGGCAAGAAGCATGTAATATGCGCCCCCCCAACTCCCAACGACAGTGTAAAATGCATATGTTGAGGTCGAGACTCTGGAAGAAAAATCAAGGAGTGAGCTAAAACTCTCCACAACAGCCCTGTGGCACTAAAGGCACTGCACTGGTGAAAGCTCCCAGAGCAATTGCTTTAATCATCAAAAAGTTAAGCAGTGGATGGAGGTGAGAGGAAACTGTCAAGTTGCGAGTAGATTAAGGTGAAAGATTGCACCTTGTTAAATGTAACTGTGCTGTCCAGGTTCACATTCAAACTTCCAGTATGGTGAATAGTCATGTTCATGTTTGTTTTCAGGTCAGACTCTAATTTATCCCCCTTCTTCCTCTTTTTGGTTATTCCTCTCATCTAGGCAAATAGACTTCCTGATTTACTAAAAGTCATTATTTCCAAGCAAGTCCCTAAACTACCTTCAGCACCTCAGAAATGCATTACAATTTTGAAAGGTTCTACCTCTAATTCACCATCTTACATTTATTTGAGCTTTCTGAAACCATATAGTCTTTTTAATCTGCACAGCCTAAAACTCACAGAATTGCTTTTGCAAACAGACACTGGAGATCCCAGACCTGGCTGCAAGCTCTTGTTCTGGTGGCTGAAATCTGCAGATGAGGTATTCAGAGAAAGGAATCATGCTTGTATTGGATCAGCAAATCTGGGCATTATACCTAGGAAAAGATTAACTCCTTCCTTTGACACTGCTTCCCACTGCCATAGTAACAAGCAAATCAGATAAAGTTAAACAAAAAAGCAGGACTGGCCTTTAGCCATGCCACTGCTCTACCTGCTTAGAGACCAGCCAAGCTGTCAGTGCTCCAGATGTACTCCTCAGCTGAATATTAAAATTCAGTATCACTTCATTTCTATTTCACTAAGCAGGAGACTGGTTATTGCCTGATCCTGCTTATAATGAAACAACAGAAATGTCAGTGGAGGAGGACTGGGTTACCAGAATTTAATTGCACTGGAATGGCTGGACTTGACCAGCACTGAGGTTGGGCAGAGAAATTGTGATGGGTAGGGAGAAATAGAGCTTTCTTCCCCTGTTATGCAGCAAATATAGATGAAGCGTTTACTGCATAGCACAGATGTCTGTGGACCAGGGCACTTTAGTTCAGAAATAATTTTAAATTGAAACCATGGCTTCCCTTTTAACTGGATTTTTGACCCAGTTAATGGAGGTCTTGTGCGTTCCTTAGCTCAGAAATGGGCGGTGCTGGCAGAATGGGGCAGGAAGCATGAGTTTAAACCCGAAGTTGTGCTGACTATTGTTCCTCATCAATCCAGCTTTAAAAATGCATCTCATCATTCAGGCGGGTATCAACAACAGCCAAATGTAGTCGTACTTAACATAGAATCTTAGAATGGTTTGGGTTGGAAGGAACTTTCAAAGATCATCTAGTCCACCTCCTCTGCCATGGGCCAGGACAGCTTTCACTAGACTGGGTTGCTCAAAGCCCCATCCAACTTGGCATTGAACACTTCCAATGATGGGGCATCCAACAGCTTCTATGAGCAACCTGTTCCAGTGTCTCACCACCCCCATCATAAAAAATGTCTTCTTTCTATCCATTCTACTTGAAAACTATGTGGTTTTGGTGGCAGACACCAGTCACATGTATGAGGCTGAAACTGAGGGGAGTATGGACGCAACTCTAGTGTACACAGACACATCAGATTGAGCAGCTGCATTGTTTCCTTGTGCACTGCTTGTGCACTTCTGCCCTGCACAGCCACAAGTTACATTTAGAGTGGCCACTGCTAAAGATGAAGCTATTGTGCTTCGGGTGATCAGAGCACACAGTAAAACCAGTGATAATTACCAGCAGGAGGGTAGCCAGACAATGTGCCAAAGAAAGGGGAAAAAATACGTAACAGAAAATTTATTTTAGGAAGTCTCTTGGAAAGAAGAGTATTTTCTTTCCTTTGTATAAACTGAATAGAAGAGGTTTTAAACAAAGCACAGATTTCACATGTCTGCTGAAAGAAGTCACCAAAGAACTGCCTGAAAACAGCAGTGGATCAAGATTGTAGCTTTTAAGACCACATCAACTGATGAGATCGTCTGCTCTGATCATCTGTTCTGACGCTAAAAGTGCTTATGTCACACTTGTAGAGGTGTGCATGAATGCAATGCCCCTGTACCAACTTTAATTCTACTGCAGTCCACAGTTGGCTTCATTTTCTTGTGGAACAAAGAAAAATGAAATCAGAAACCAATTTCACCAGTTTTAAGGCATGAATTGTATTACTTGTCATTGCTTTGCATTTTGTAAATAGAGTTCCCATGCAAAGATTTTTGCAGTAAATAAAAATGTTCTTTATTAGCAGTTAGCTTAGGTATCCAATATCTCAGTAACCTCAATGCAGGCAGGGACTGGCACAGAGGAAGTCCTGGACTTGCAGGAAAACCTCCACCTGATGACTCCTGTGCACAGCGGCTTCTCCTAGTGCCTCACTGATGGGTGATCAAGAATCTTTCCCTTAAGTTGCTAAAAGCGGTGGCTGCTTATCTCACCTCCCAGATGTGCTGAGCAGGGAATCACACCAGCACAAGTTCACAGACAGGCTTTGAAGCCTACGCGGGGGCTTCAGATTACATTTCCACACACTCCATAACACCTTCATGTGGTTTTCATGCAAACCGTGGGAGAATCTTTACACACAGAAGAAGCACGGGAGAACTGGTATAAAATGTACCCAATACAATAGGTTCATGTCAAACTCTTACCTCATGCAGGGTTGACTGTCATAGCCTTGGTCCTAGTGACCACAAACAAATAAACATGGGAGATTATGTTGTTGTTCTCTGGTTAGGATGAATGAGATCAATGACAAAAGACTTAATTATAACCTACATTTCCACAAAGGAACAGAGGACATTTTCAAGCAAAAAGGATGGTCTTTGCAGAAATAGCACCAGGGAGAGGAGATATTTTCTTGGAAATTATGGAAAAAACACTTCTAGCCTGTTTTGCAAAAACAAGAATATCCTTCTCTTAGTTGAATGTCATTCTTGACTTACTACACCACTTACTGCTGACTCCTTTCCTTTCTTCTCACAAGATATCAAGAATTAATGAGACAGAAGTTTAAATAAGGGAGAAGATAAAAGCCTAACCCACCCTTTATGCTTTATACACTTACAGTTTATAGGAGTAATTTTAAGTATCAACATAAGGACAGAGATTATTTAAACCTCTCAACTATCACAGGCTCTTATAAATTTTGAAGACTTCACAAATACAGATAAAGCTACTTGCTGCTAAAATTACAGACTAGACCAGCTATAACCTAGGCCCACATTTAGGGTAAAGCAATCAAGACACAAACGAAATTCTCCTTCATGGTGACATTGAAAACAAAGCACATGTGTAACCTGAACACACATCACGCTGTCTGTGGCTCTGCATGCCATATTTTTGAATGAAATAAATTATTAAAAAATTAATGTAACCTCATTACTTATTCTTCAGCTGCTCTGCATCCATTCTTGTAATTAAGAACATCGGCTAGACTAAACACTGTGATTAATATAGTGCCAACTGTGTGTCTAAAGAATACCTAATTTTTTGCAGTGCTGATTTTTTTTTATTCAATAGCAACAATTGAGAGAGATTATGTCACTACTAAATACGTTTATTACAGTTTCTTTTCTACTTCATCTTTTCAACTTGAATTGCAAACAACATCATCCTATTTTGAGACTCTGGATCTATTGATCAGAACAGATTTTTGGTCCGCCCTTTATGTAAAGAAATGCTCATGTTAAGTGTTTTCTAACATTCTTGAATGACAGTGCTATTGATGAAACAAAGTTTGTAAGGCAAACACAAGTGATTCTATGCTTAACTGGTAAACTAACTTAAGTCATGCACAAGGTATCAAACAGGTATCTGAAAAAAATGCACTTACCTGGTATGTAAACAGCACTTCGCTTGGTGATTTACCTAATTTTCCGTTGATGTTAACTTCAATTTGACCTTGTTTTGGTTCATTCATTGGTCCAACTTGACATACAATCCTAGCAAGAAAGAATGTAAGTTTATCCGTTAGAAGTAACAGCTGTAATACCAGTGCAATCTCTGTGAGCTACCACACCCCCTGCCAGCGCACTAACTTTGCTTTATCCTACAAAAGGTACTTGAATGCTGCCCCAGATTCCCAGCAAAAACACCCAAGAATAGTTTAATCTTCTGTCTAAAGATATGTAAAACTGAAACCTGAGCGCTGTACACAGCAGCTACTTTAGCAGTCTGTTAGTAGAGCTGCCTTCTACAGAAGACTCCAATTCAGCCCAGAAGTCAGAGATGAACCTCTCCAACCCTATGCAACGTTTCACTGGACCTTGTGTTGTTAAAAAACTAAAGGACCTCCCCTCCCCGCGATGTAAGGATCAGACCATCAGTGGTCTTCTAACTTTGTATGCTTTAGCTGCTGATACTTTTGTTGTGCATCCTGCTATCTTTCAGCTTTAAACCGCTGTATTTTCACACCTACGATCAAAATCCTTTTAGAATTACTGTTCTCTGAAAATAAAGCCTCAGCTAACCCACGCAAAATCAGAGGTCAAGGAACACTGGCTGAGAAAACACTGCCTTAACTATCACTGCTGCTGCATGATAGCTTGGATGTTTAAATTTTTATTTCAAACAGGTGACCCACACAATACAAGCATGAAAACGCAATAAGGATTTGACACACTTGAAAACTGAGACAAATGCTTAATGGAGAGATGATAATACAGTTAGATAAGGGGGTATATAATGTTTGTAGCCTGTGCAGGCAGACAGTTTCAAGCAGGACACACCCCGAGGATCACTGCTCATTTCCTTAAAAAAAACTTTGGGATTATTGCTATTCTTCCTTAAGCTGTGCACAACTGCTTAAAAAAACCCCCTCAAATAGAAAACAAAACCCCACAACCCCAAATTACTGGGTATAATGTACTTAAATCGGGACTTATAATAAAAGGATTGTCAAGTCCCTCTGCAGATCACTCCAGACTTTTCTGTCTGGGTACTGGCAAATGGACAAAATTCTCTAAATTCCTGCATGTCCTGGCATGTGTATGGCTGCCTGAGTCTGTTCCTCATCATCTCTCTACTGTATTCTTGGAAGTTGTATCTTCTTGTCAGGCAGAAACAGGAAACAGTGCCTTTGTAGGAATTTCTACCATATGTGAAGCTAGGGAAAGCAGTCAGGGGCCAGGGCCGGGTGTGTGTGTGTGGGAAATGCCACAGTATGGTTAGCAGGGATTTTAATTGAGAAAAGTTCCCTCTTCTCCCCAGCATTGGCATTGCCTGCCTTCCCCCACGTTACAAATGGAAAGCTACGAAGAATGAGAACACAACTTCTTGAAGGCCAATAATTAAATCACTGCAGAGCCATAAAGCAGCCTTAAGTGCCTTAAATCTTGCTGGTCTCCTGCCCATAGAAGCAACTGTCTCCTAAAAATTACTAGCTTTTTACTGTAGAAAGATAGGAGAGCAAGACTAGACAATTTTTTTTTTTTTTTAATTAAACTAAATAAAAGAAGGTAATAATAAAACAAAAGAATAGAGGAAGAAAAAGGCAGAAAATTATAGATACCTATTTGAGTAACTTCTTTTTCATGGCTTCCCTAATGGGGAACATCCTTCAAAACCCCCTAATTTGTTGATAAATGACATTATGCAAGTTGCATTTGTTCTCACCCATTACCACACTGGCAGAGCTTAGGAAACCAGTAATGTTGCTATGATACAAGGAACCAGTCATCTCAGTTCTGGCTCCTTTCCATGTATTTAAAAATACCAAAAGGCTTTAGAAAAAGCCAAGAGGCTGGGGAAATTCTTGTAAGGCTATGCTGCAATTCAGTGCAGCTTTTGCAAACACTGAAAATAGGGAACGGGAAAAGATGACGGTAAGAGTTGGGAATTTTGTGGATGGTGATGCACATGTAAATGCACAAGTGGTTGCAATGGATTTGGGAAGCAGTAAGAGATATACAGCCATATATACATTGTTAAGTCCTAGGGGCCTGTGAAGCTTCTAAGTGCCTGATCCACAAACTGACTACAGCCAAACATTTTTCAAAAGCTAAAAAAATCACTTAGGTATCTCCAACATCCTTTTCAAAACATGCCACAGAAATAGCAAAAAATTACTGTATTACACTTTAAATTAACTGAAGGGAAAGAAAACTAAAATTTCAATTGCAGCTTTAAATATCAAAAGTGAATGAAAGAAAAATCACACTGCTTAAAATAAGTCATTACTCTTAATGTTACCACTGAACCTTCATGCTATGCTTTTTATCAGCTAATATCAAAAGGGTATTTCCCTCTTGAAATTAGATGCTTGATATAATCTGTAGTAAACACCTAGATACCTAGAAGAATTTAGGCACTTTGTTTTAATTTTTGGCACTGCTTAAGAGTGTAACAAGCAATCCGCAAAACATCTACCAACCTGCTTAGGCAATTCAGCATCCATGGACTTGCTGGCTCTGTGATGAAACTTAATCATCTAAAGCTAAACCAAAACTGTGGGCTCCCTCCCTACCCCCAGGAAAAAAAGTTTGTGGCTGGACTAAACCAAAAAGATTTAAGCTTCCTTTTGCTTTGCCTACTTTCCCATAAATCTTGTATGCTTGACTGCACTGTGGTTCAGATTTAGCAAACATTTTAGTGACTAGATGCACACCTACTATGCCTTTAATTTAAAAACAAATAAATAGTATTGAGATAGCTGCAATAATAGTTTATGAAAGCTTTTCAAACAAACAAAGAAAAAAAATTCAACTGATCAGAAGCAGGATGGTAGTATTTTGTAAATTAGAAATTCTAACAATTTTAAATAAAGACTCAAGACGTTACTGTGAAATATTGCAGGTATATCGCACTAGTTCTTTCTTCTATTGATAACTTTTTATAACCACAGGAAGATCATCTTCTTCTGAAAATGCACAGAAATTCCTTTTTTCTTCTAAAATCTTGTGAATTACCTTGTGGAAACAGAGTAGAATTCCTCTTTGAAAAGACATTCCTTGTCTGCCACCATTATATTTTTTACATCTTCTGCTTTTATTCCCAAATTAGATCCCGTTATGGTCAAAAGAATTCCACCATTTAGTGGTCCAGTTTTTGGCTCAATCTGTGTTTGCATGAGGGAAAGCAAAAAAAAAAAAAAAAAGGCAAAAAAAGGCAAAATTAAATACTGCAGCGACCATGTTGCTCTTCCATATTATTTAAAGCTACTTTGATTTACCCACACTTGAAAACCAAATGTTGTTTCCTGTAGGACTCACACAAAAAGATGCTATGTAACTTTTTAATTTAATTAATCATCTGTTAGCTCAGAACCAGTATTCATCAGCTGCAGATTTTGTGTCTCCTGCGGCAGACGGTCACGTACAAAACTCTCGCCTGGTGTTTACTCTGTTTTAAGTTTGCTTCCTCCACTAAAGCACTGTGATTTTGGAAAGGAGATGGATTGGGCTGCTCTCACAATCATTCCACAGAGCTTTTCCAGCATTTTTTGGACATGATTTTCTCCCTTTAGGTTCACATCAGAACAATGCACCTTCCTAACACACAGTGCTGCCCCACACAGAGTCTTCAAAAGTTCCTCTAGTCCCCTGATTCCTTACTGCATCAAATGGTAGGATGCTGCAGTACATGGGCTGACGCTAATTAAATAATTTGCAATTAAAATGAGGACTGAGAAAATCCTGCAGTAGAAGTGGACTTCTCAGGTTGAAACATGGCCTGAACAGGCATTTGAATTATGAATATTGGTTGGGAGACTAACGGGCTTTCCTATGCAATATTTGGAGCACCTCCAGCAAGACCTTTTCAGGTCTTCAGTTTAGAGGCCTGCAAATTTACCGTCGAGGAGAAGGACACTGCACAGTCTCAAATTCAGTAATTGGAAGCCAAACAAATATAGCTTCTGAAAGTTTGGATTTTAATGCCTGCTCCATCAACATCATATTTTCTTAGATTTAAGCAAGTCTGAGCACAGAAACATGGCAGCTGCGGCAGCCTCCTGCCCAGCCCAGCTCCAGAATCACTCGCTCTGTTTTCCCACTGGTTCAACTTCCTAAAACTTCTGCCCGCTGGCCATCCCTTTGCACTCAACCCATAAATAAACTAGTTGCAAAATGACTCAACAGTTTGTGTAGATGTTTCCAAATACTTTGTTCAAATCTGAAGCTAACAAAAGCTTTGAAAAAAAATATTTTAGCATTTAGAATTTAATCCATAATCACATACGAACAGAATCCCAGGTAAAAACACCTTTTAATCTTAATTTTCCTTTTACTTCCCACTTGAGTCATCTTTATCTTGGCCCAGCTATCACACAAGCATTCTGTCTTAGACAGACACTGTCTGTCGAGATTTAGACTCATAGAATCATAGAATGTATTGGGTTGGAAGGGACCTCTAAAGGTCATCTAGTCCAACCCCCCTGCAGTAAGCAGGGACATCTCTAACTAGGTCAGATTGCTCAGAGTCCCATCAAACCTGACCTTGAATGTCTCCAGGGATGGGGCTTCCACTGCCTCTCTGGGCAACTGTAAGAGTTGGTCCTGTTCCAGTGATCCACCACCCCCATATTAAAGAAATTTTTCCTGATGTCCAACCCAAATCTACCCTTTTTTAGCTTAAAACCATTACCCCTCATCCAATTGCTAAAACCCTTGTGAACCGTTCTTCCCCTGCCTTCTCACAGGCTCCTTTCAGGTATTGGAAGGTTGCTGTAAGATCTGCCTGGAGTCTTCTCCAGTCTGAACAACCCCAACTCTCTCAGCCTGTCTTCATAGGAGAGGTTCTCCAGCCCCCTGATAATTTTTGTGGCCCTTCTTGGGACATGCTCTAACAGGTCCATGTCCTTCTTGTGTTGGGGGCTCCAGAGCTGGACACAGTACTCCAGGTGAGGTCTCACCAGGGCAGAGTAGAGGGGCAGAATCACCTCAATCTGCTGGTCACACTTCTGTTGATGCAGCCCA